TCCGCTCCTTGAGTTCTCTCCAGCGCTGGAAAGCTGATCTGATATTTACACGGGTCCTACTTCTTGCCTTATCGTAAACATTCTTTTGTTCCGCAGACGTTTTCCTCTTTTGCTTTTTACTCGCTATCTCTATCTTTCTGTCGTCGCTCGGCTCGGCTAATGTCCGTCCTGTGCACTGAACGCTCTCTCCTCCGCATCTTGAGTAGACACGCCCCGTACTGCTGATTGGCTACAAGTTTGTTTTGTTACTCTGCCCGACTCAGTTTTCTAAAACGTTTTTGAAAAAATACATACCCCACCTTTAAAGAATTACTTTTGCTAATTTTTCAAACAGGCATGGTATAGAATTAGAGAACAATTTAATGAATGAACAATGCATTATACTTTCAGAAGACGTTAAGCCTCTTTTCATGGGAAAATAGAGCACTGTTTTTTACAATGGTGGGTCATTTTTGTGTGAGTTATACAGTGTTTTTACTCTGAAAGTATGAAACCGTCAATCAGAACAATCTATATGCGGTTTATATCTGGTCTGTGTCAAAAACATAGTACAAGTAGAACATTTGTTTAAAGCAGCACTATGTAACTTTTTCTGTGTTCAAAATTTGCAAAATGTATATAATGAGCGAGTACATCATGAATTCATCTTCCAAACCGCGTTTTTGTCTTATCACTACGGTACACTTTTAATAAGTACTTATATTTGGACTATTGTAGCCTGGTCGGGTCGACACCGCTGCGGAGTAACACATACCTGCGTGAATCGCCATAGACATAAACTTTGAGAAGTAGCTCCGGTTGGAATGTTCTTCCGCGGGATGTGTGCAGTTCTGTTTATTAACCGCTAGAGCGCCAAAAGTTACATAGTGCTGCTTTAAAGATTGTATGTTGAACAGCATGTATACTGTACAAATACAGGGGGAAAAAATGTCTGAAAAATTGATGATTCACCAAAACTTGAATGTAAACTCGTTCTCAGAATATCACTCTTGAGCCCTTCCACTACTGAAGATCTTGGCCAGGAGGGAAACGTTCGATTGAGCTTTGTCCTGGATGGTTTTGCTCTTCTGTTGTGCCTTCTGGAGGTTCTTCTTGGACAAGCCTTTGTTCTTAAACCGTTTCAGGTGGATCTCCTCTTCTGTAGGTCGCTGTTTGTAGTCCCACGTCTTCTCCTCTACGACCTCTCCCTTCTTCTCCTTCTTCTTCCTTAGGTTCTCCAGCTTCTGGCTCTTTTCCACACTAGCCAGGTAGAAGTTGGTCTCCTTCTTCGCCTGGGAGATTTCGGTTCTCATACGCTGATGATACACCGTCTGCTCGTAAGCCAATCGTTCGCTGAGATGGCACCACTGGAACCTGTGCAGATACTTAATGAAAAAGAGAGAGGAAAAGTAACTATACAGCTTCATATATGATGAATTTTAGGTACTCAAAAAAGTCTGGGGTTAGTAAGATTTTTTTATGTTTTTGAAAAGTCTCTTATGCACACCAAGGCTGCATTTATTTGATGAAAAATACAGTAAAAACAGTAACACTGTAAAATTATATTACAAGTAAAAATCAATATTTTCTATTTCAATATATTTTAAAATGCAACTTATTTCTGGGACGCAATGCTGAAATCTCAGCATCATAACTCCAGTCTCCAGTGTCACATGATCCTTCAGAAATCATTCTAATATTCACTTTTCATCAATTAAATGTATCCTGGCTGAAAAAAAAGTATTAATTCCTTTAAAAAAAATCTTACTGACCAGAGACGTTTAGAATGGTAGTATATCCGTATTATGTACCTTAATGGACCACAGGTCGCTGCTGAAGCGGCTCTTCTTCTTGTTGGCCATGGGTGTGTTGTGCAGACTGGCTGCGACTCTCTTAGCGATGCGCTTGTCTCTGAACTCCACCCAGCCCTCCGTGAAACTGGATGAATTGCTTCCTGCCTTCTTTTTCTTTCTTTTCACACAACGATCTAGAAAAGAGTCACAAAAAATGTTTATATGGAAAGTTTGTCAAACATGAAAACATGCACTTTGATACAAGATATCATTTTGTGGGGGAATTTCCAGCATCATTACTCCAGTCTTCAATGTCACATGATTCAGAAATCATTCAAATATGCTGATTTGGTGCTCAGATGTTATCAATTGTTAGTGAAGCTTTTTATTATTATCAGTGTTGCAAAACAGTTTTTGCTGCTTATTTTTCTGTGGAAACTATGATACTTTTTTTTTTTTTACAGGATTCTTTGATGAATAGAAAGAACAGAATTTTATTTGAAAGAGAAATTTTTGTAACAAATAAATGTCTCAACTGTCACTTTTGACTAATTGAATGCATCCTTACTGGACAAAAGCTTACTTACCTCAAACTTTTGTACTCCAAAATGGTAGTGCATCATGGTTTCCACAAAAACACTAGCAGCAGTTTTCCACATCGGTAATAATAAGAAGCCTTTCTTGAGCAGCACATCTGAAGGATGGATCATCATGTGACACTGAAGACTAAAGTAATGGCTGCTGAAAATTCAGCTTTGCATCACTGTAATAAATTACATTTTAATATATATTCAACCAGAAAACAGTTCAATATTTCACAAAATGACCGCTCACTGTAATTTTGATTGAATAAATATAGCCTCGGTAAGAAGAAGAGACTTTATCTGTAAAAGTTAGTTTGATTTAATGGTTTAATTTAGTACTTTCACGAATATAGATGACCCCAGAGCTAATGGACATCGACTAAAAGCCACAAAACAACGATTTTGATTTAAAAAATGTGGCTGTAAGACAGTATACATGTCTATTACGGTCTATTGTAAAGTACTGTAGTTTTACCTTCAGGCTGTATAATTTAGTACTTTCACGAATATAGATGACCCCAGAGCTAATGGACATCGACTAAAAGCCACAAAACAACGAGTTTGATTTAAAAAATGTGGCTGTAAGACAGTATACATGTCTATTACGGTCTACTGTCTGTCTATCTATTGTCTATTGTAAAGTACTGTAGTTTTACCTTCAGGCTGTAGGAAGATCCTCCCGATCTCTCCGTACACACTCAGCATAGTCCGCATGTGTTTTGGTCTCATTCTCGGAGGAATGTGTCCCAAATACACGATACCTGGAATCCATTTCTTGCCCTTTGGTTTCTCAGGCTCATCTTCTTCATTTCTATCCAGGTCAAGGGCTTCACCATCATCATTGTCATCTTCACAGGTCATCTCTTGATCAGCATCTTCTACACCATCTGCATTCTCATCTTCCTCTTGTTTAGAGTCATTTAACTCTTCTTCTTTGACCATGGGTTGTGTTTCTAGGTCTGCTGTAACTTCATTCTTCTCCGGAAGAGCCATAATTAGATGTGACAGCTATTACAGACTAACATGAGAGAGACGGCATATTAGAAATCATGTGAAATATCTAAAATAACAACCCCAATAAACTCTGCGGTGATCCGCTCATGTACTCTTTAAAACAGTAACTGCAAAACACTTTTATTTGATGTGACTCTTACTTCGAAAGAGTAACCAGTATATTTCCATGTAAAATACTGTCTTTATCCATAAAAATATGTGTCTATTCCGAGATGTTTTTGGAAAAATTACAGGGATAAATTGACTCCTTCAAAGCATGTGGCACGGAAAGCGGCTCTGACGTCAAAATCAAGCGTCAAGAAGACAGCCTGGACTTTCTTAAAGAGACAGAACAGTGTTTACAACGCCTCCTCTGGTATCCATTGTATTATATTATAGAATTTATGTTATTAAATGCTTTATGGACCATTATATAATAACTCTATCTGAATTTAATATATTTCAAATATGAATACAGAAATGGATAAATATTTAAAGCACCCTGTTATCATACTAAACAGCAGAGGGCAACAAAACACAAGGAAATATTTGAGCCCAGGTTATTTGAATTGGTCATAATCTGCAATTTGTTAAATCATAGCTCACAATTTGTTAAATCATAGTTTTTAAGAATAAACTGCAAGACATTATGCTGTACTTAGCCATGATCATAATGTATTGTAATGTATTGCAACACAACTGTAACACATTAAATTTCTTTAAATAGATCAAACGTTCAAGACAATCTTGATGTTGACTTTGAGAAGAAAGACCACAATGTTTGAAGTTTCTCTTAAAGCTTGATGTTTGAAGGTTTTGAAGGAGACCCTGCAAAACTGTAACTGTGTGTTTGGATCAATTGAAACAATATCTATGAAATATAATGCATTTAATGGTATTATTACTGCTGGAACATGTAATTGTTACCTATACCAAAAAAGTAGCTCATTTATGAGCCTCGGTTTGTAAAGAAAAATGTACAAAAAAAAATGTCACAATTGCCTGTGGTCTTTTCTATTAATTTGTCTTTCAGCCACTGCAAACTTCAATCCAATCATCATAAATTCATTACTGCAGAGCTGTTATAAATAAAGACCTGTTAAATAATGGCTCGATGAAAACAGAGGGACGTTTAGAAGCATACACAAAGAGAGGAAAAGACACACCCGTCCGCCATTATCCCCAAGAGTGTGTTCCTCCCTGCAGGCATGCTCTGCTGAATGCATGGCCATGTGCCCGTCACATGTGGCTTCCTGCATTATTGAAGAGGATGACTTGGGTTTACAGAGAGCTCTGCAGCAGTTCTGGCTCTGGGACATCTGTCTTTTCAAATTTAACCCCAAACACCAGGGCAACAAGCTCAAGGGATTCATCTGAAATGGCATCATCACTAAGGGGAGGAAGATGCCATCGGCTCCTTAAATCAGTCTTATGTAGAATTCACTGTTGTCAACACTGTTTTTGATGAATGTAAGTAATGTAAACAAACAAATCTACATAAAGTAACTAAACATAAGTTATCTATTTTATTTGTCCATTTGTAATATTGATAATTTAAGGAACATTTGTGTTGAATAAAAAGCGAGTTACATCAGCAACTACCTCAACATAAAAATGCAGTATTGAGCAGATAAATCACAGAGGCGACTTGACTCTTGTCTGGATGTTACAGGGACGGATGAGACACGCGTGTGTTTATCCGCTGCAGAGTGACTGATGAAGGAATGCTATATAAACATATTTTAAATCTTAAGTTGTAGTTTATATTAATTATTGTAATTTCAAACAACTATTACAGCACTTTTCTGATTCTTGATTTCTGTGCATTTGCTGGAGATCTTTTGTGGTGGAGCAGGACCTGCAAGGCAAGGTGACGGCGGCATTTGTGAAAAAAAGGGAAAACCTGAAACAAAAATATAAATAAGATCATTTTATTACTTCCAATACAGAAATCAGATGACATTATGCTGTTAAAATGACTGCTTTTGTATTGTGTTTGTGCATCTTTGCAGGATCTGAAATGTCTGCAGACTGGTGTGAGCAGTGAGGATGGGAAGCTCAC